CAAGGATGAACTCTGGGAAGTCAGGCTCCCCTTCCAATCAGCTCAATTTGGAAAGAGAAAGCAAGGGCCAGCCTTCTTGGTGGGCAGAGGAGGCTATTGCCTGTTCAAAGGGCTGGGGATATAACTCAGTGGCATAAGTGCTTGCCTGGCAAGCCTGAGGTCATGAGTCCGATTCCCTGTACCAGAAAAAAAAAAAAAAGACACCAGGAAAGCATCCAGTCCCTAGGGGAAATGATTACCAGATCTTTTTTTTTTTGTACCAGGAATCAAACTCAGGACCTTGCGCTTACCAAGCAGGCACTTATGCCACTGAGCTATACCCCTGGTCCGCCAGATCCTTTAATTTCAACATTAATGATCCTTTTTTTTTTTTTTTTTTTGTACCAGGAATTGAACTCGGGACCTCGTGCTTGCCTGGCAGGCGCTTGTGCTGCTGAGCTATCTCTCCAGCCCATGATCCATTATTTTTAAAAAATAATTTTCTTTAAAATACAAATTCCGGCTAGGTATGGTGGCACACGCCTATAATCCCAGCACTCGGGAGGATGAGGCGGGAGGATCACTGTGGGTTGGAGGCCAGCCTGGGCTACAAAGTGAGCTCAAGGCCAGCCTGCACTGCATAGCGACACCCTGTCTCAAAAAGACAAAAAAAAAAATTCCAGGCCTGAGGCAGCACCTCAGTGGGAGAGTGCTTGCTTGACTAGTGTGAGGCCCTGGATCATCAGCTGCACCTCCAAAAGAGTGTAGAGAGCATTAGAAAATGAGAAATGGCAAAACACAGGAATTCGGTCAAGCAAAAGAGAAGAACACAGCATGAAACTTCACCTAGCAAGACTGTTGGGCATGAAGGAGGCAGAAAGATAAAGGGGCCCCTGTCTGGGGGAGGGGAAATAACTGGTGATGTTGGGGGGCAGCAGTGGCATTGTGAAGGGTCGGACAAGGACAGTGGAGCACAGACATTGGACTGATATTGGGACTCGGGTTTGTCTTGTTTTGGTTTGGTGTCTTTCTGAGACAGGGTCTCGCTATGCAGTTCAGGCTGGCCTTGAGCTCACTTTGTAGCCCAGGCTGGCCTCGAACTCGCAGCAATCTTCATGCCTCAACCTCCCGAGTGCCAGGATCACAGGCGTGTGCCACCATGTCCAGCTGGTACTTGGTTTTGAAAGTGGGTTAAAAGAGCGTGCGTGCGGGTCTTTTTTGTAAACATAGAACAGAAGAGAAAAAGCAATAACCAGACCAAGGGCCAATTTATTCTGAGAAAAAAACTGGATAAAGATTCCTTTTAAAATATTTAATTTGCGATGCTTACAACACTGGGACTGGGGTGCTGCCTGCCGGGGATGCGGGTCGTGTCTTGTTCAACAGGCAGTCGGACAGTCAAGTTCACAAGAACTTTGTTTTTTCTTTTTTGTATTTTCCCAGCTTCCAAGCACAAAGTGACTTGTTTAATGTTTCCTAAAATAAACACTGCTATTGATTTTTAGTTGTGGGTTGTTATGTTAAGTATACAGATGTGTGGCATGCAGTGTAATAATTCAGTGCATGTCTAGAGCATGCAGTGATCTTATGGGGTGGTTAATATTTCCATCTCCTTAAACATTCTCTTTACATTTTTGAATAACATATAGTAATTGTACATATTTATGAAGTATGTGCACAGATTTCAGTATGTGTATACAATATGCACTGTCCAAATCAGGTTAATTAATGGTTCCATCTCCTCATTACTTCGGATTTGGAGCTTTTTTTTTTGTCTTTTTAAGACAGGGTCTCACTATGCAGTTCAGGCTGGTCTTGAGCTCACTTTGCAGCCCAGACTGGTCTCGAACTCACAACAATCCTCCTGCCTCAGCCTCCTGAATGCTGGGATTACAGGGTTGCGCCACCACGCCCAGCCGATTTGGAGCATTTTGAAGAAATTCTTAAGGTGATTCTTAGAAATCTGTGCCCATGGTGTCTTTCAATAGTAGCTACAATATCCACTTAATATTTTTATATATGAATATATTTAATTCAAGATACTGTGTGGAACAGAGAGTACAAGAGTTGGGTTTTTCTCTTTCATCAGTTGTGCAAACCCAGGAAACTGAAAAAAAATTTTTTTTTTTTTACCATGCTGGGGTTCAAAACTAGGGCATTGCTAGGCAAGTGCTCTACCTCTGGGCTACAGTTCCAGTCCCAAAACTGCTCAACAGCAAGGATGCAGTCATTACCAGCTGTCCTGTCGCAGGCCTACAGTTCCTACTAGTGGCAGGCTGAGGCAGGAGGACCGAAGGTTACAGGCCAGCCTGGGCAATTCAATGACACCCTGTCTCAAAATAAAATAAAAAGAGCTGAGGATGCAGTTCCTTGGTAGGGTGCCTCCCTGGGTTCAATCCTCAGCACCACCAAAGGGAAAAAAAAAGAATCTGCGCCTCATTTAGCTAGTTTTCTCAGCTATACGAAAAGGAATCCAACCTCTACTGTCACATGTAACTTTTGTCTCCTCCTCCCATTTGAATTCCACTGGCTTTTAGAGAAGGTTTTTATTATTCAGAAAGGACTCGTGGTAAATAGTTGTCACTATTAACATGCGCCTTGGGTGGGTGGGAGAGCAGACCAGCAGTAGAGCGTCTGCCTAGCACGCCGGAGGCCCTGGGTTCGAGCCCACTACTGCTCTGCTTCCGCCGTTGGACTGCTGTCAACACCTGGGACAAAGCAAGTGCACATGCAGCGACAGCATGTCTAGGCTTCAGTGCATTTAAATCCAGAGAATCCTAGAATGAAAACCTTAAAACAAAAGATGAGGAAATTAAACCAGGGCCTAATACAGAAAAACACAGCTGGGCCCAGGCGGCCTGGTTACAGCAAGAGCCAGGATAAGTGTCTGGATATTGTGTTTCTTTTCCCCTTTATTTTTAAACATTAGGTAAGTTTTCTGCCCGCCTCCTGAAGCTCAGATCCGCCCGCCCTTCTCAGGACCCAGCCGGGATATTCTGGAAGCCATGGGCACAGGAAGCTGTGCTGTGCACCGGGGAAGCGGTGAGCGTGAACAAGCACAAATCCAGGGGAGTCAGGAACGTGGATGTGGATTCAGGAGAAGCTCCCTAACTTGCTTTGTGGTGGGGGCCAGCGCAGCACCGGAATAATAATAGTGAAATGTACATGACTAAGAAAACCAGACTTGACTCCCAGTCCTACCTCCCTTGGGGACAAAGGAGGACGAGCTGGAATTAAGAGTCAAGTTCTGTACCTGGCAGCGTGCTCTCTAGCCCCAGCCTCTGAGCGTGGCAGAAGGCAATAGCGGGTCTTCATGTATTTATATAAGATTTTAAAATCCTTGGCTCTGTTAGACAGTCTCCTAGGACTACAAAAATTACCATCATCCCTCTCATCAAAAAGACCTCCCAGGCAAAAATTAGGATAATCAAAGCAAAATAGTTAAGGGCCAGGGATATAGCTCAGTGGCACAAGCGCCTGCCTAGCAAGCACAAGGTCCTGAGTTCAATTCCCGGTACCAAAAAAAAAAAAAAAAAAAAAGCAAAATAGTTAAAACAAATATGGAGAAATGATTGAAGGTTTTCTAGGAACTGAAAAAGGAAAATAATGTGAAGCTCTACAACCAGCCAAAATAGACAAGAATAGCATCCTCCACCTTAAGATCTATGTCTAGCAGATTGAATGGTTGAGGTTATTAACCTAAAAGGCTGGGGCTGTAGCTCAGCCCTAGAGCTCTTGCCTAGCATTCATGAGGCCTCAGGTTCAATTCTTAGCACCACCAAAAAATAGATATATAAAGTTTATTCTCTGCTGAAAACAGTATGTAGAATGTTTCTCTATCAGCCAGGTGGTCATCATGTATCCACTAGGCCTATGATACTGGGAGGCAGCAAAATTATGCAACAATTACACTTAAAGTACTGAAAACTGAGATAAATGTTATCGGTCTCTGAAAAATTAGGGAGTAGGGGCAAAAAGCTAGACATTCTAAGAGGATTGGCTTAAGAAATACTGCTGTCTATGGATTAGCTGACAGTGGAGAAGCAGAATTCCTATGTTTCCGGCTTTGGTCTTTCACCGGTGATCACAGGCCACGGGGCCTCTGCGAATTCACATCCTCACAGGGCGGAAGTCGGAAGTAGTTGGAGCGGCGGAGTCGCCTCGGGGGCAGACCTGCCATCTGACGGCACAGCTCATCTGCAGGGCAAGCAGAGTGTCAGGCTGGGGGACGATGTAGGAGATAAGGGGGGCTCTTACTAGAAGGGGGAGAAAAGACTTCGTTCGCAGTGTGGCGTAGTCAGCATGTTGAAGAGGAGAGGATCTGGGTTAAGACCTCAGCTCTGCCACTTACTAGTTAGTTACCGCTTACTAGAAAGTTCCCTCCCTTTTGTGAACTCCACGATCCCTTTCTGTAAAATAAGCATGAAAATGCCCGCCTCAGCAGTGTATCTGTACGAGCGTGCGCCGAGGGCCTAGCGCAGGTGGTCAGCGAATGGCATTTTCCTTTCTCCCCCTCCCCGTTCTGCTAGTCCTGGACCCACTGAATAGAAAAAGGAGGTCCAGTCATTCCGCATCCGCTTCGGTGTTTACTGTGTGCAAACAGCTAACTTTAGCAAGTCCCTCGAGATACCTGAAAGTGCCCTCTGTCCCAAACACTCATCCTCAGGCCCAAGGTGCTTCCCTGGCAGGTGGCTTGCGCAAAGCCGCCAGGGGCCAGCGGCAAATTTCCTCCTGAGATGGTGACTCCAGCTCTTACTCAGCCACTCAGAGCCAGGCAGCTGCTGAGTCAGAAGGGGCCCTGTCTGTGGCCTTGTCCCCGACCGCAGCCGGGGTTCGGGGCTGTCCACCGGCAGGGTGAGAAATGCTTGTTCCCACCACGCATGGTCTATAACCACACTTCAGACCCTCGTAAAGTGGTTCTTACAAAGTCTTTATACCTTGGCCATTTCACAGAAAGCAGTGTAAATGCTTCCTGGCACTGGTGAGCTGTTTATAAGGTAGTTGATTTCTAAATGCCCTCCACAGGATATTTTTTATAGACCTTATTGAAACCTTAGCATCTCCAAATATGTGTGTGTGTGTGTGTGTGTGTGTGTGTGTGTGTGTGTGTGTCCTCTTCTTGGTGGCCTTTATTTATTTATTTATTTATTTGTTGTCTTTTTGAGACAGGGTCTCGCTATGCAGTTCAGGCTGGCCTTCAACTCACTTTGTAGCCCAGGCTGGTCTCGGACTCACAATGATCCTCCTGCCTCAGCCTCCTGAGTGCTGGGATTACAGGCGTGCACCACCATGCCCAGCTCTTGGTAGTCTTTAAAGCAGCCAGAGCTTTAGAAAACTCTGCAGAAGCAAGGGGGCTCGATCTCACCAGAAAGGGGTCCCGGGGTCCAGCAGTTTTGTTAGGGTTGTGTGTTTGCGTGGAACATACTCCTGGCCTTGTTTGTTTGGGGCCCGCTTCCTGCAGGGGCTGATGGGAGCTAGAGAAGCCGCGGGCTCCTCCAAACCCAGACCTGAGATCCAGCAGCGCCCTGGCCTTGCCTCCCCGTCAAACCCTCAGAAGCCACCTCACCTTTCATGGCTTCGTGCTCCTTACAGACGAGGCGGGAGCAGATCTCATTGTTGATGATGTACATGCGCCGTAAACTGCCAGCGTGGTGGAGAAGGAGACAGAAAGAGCCTTGAGAGGGAGAGCCAGCCAGGCCTAGGACACCTCTTCAATGCGCGTGGTCCCGCCCAGCCCTATCTGGATGTCCCTAAGCCTCTCAGCCTTCTTCTTTCTTCCCCCCTACAGCACGGAGGAGGTGGAATGGACTAAACACTGTTCTTAGTGACCCGGCACGTCCCGCGTGGTGTCCAGCTGGACGCTCCTTTCCGTTCTTTTCTGCCTTTGGGGCTGGGTCTTTCCCCTCAGCCTCTATCAGCTAGCAAACCAACGTGCCAGTGTCTGCCTCCTGACCTTCTTGGCCCTAACCCCAGCTTCACGGCCTCCTGGCATCTATCGCGGGCTGGCTGTCTGCGTCCCTCACCCTTGTGTCCCTCATGCCAGCCAGTTCTGTGTCCCTCTCCAGCTTCCAGGCAGCACCTTTAGGAGCAGCTAGGAGGGTTATGCTAAAGTCGTCTGCCCATCAAGGATTGCAGTTCCAGCCTGGTGCCTAGAGTCCTAGTACTGTGGGAGGCTGAGGCAGGAGAAACACAAGTTCGAGCCCAGTGTGGGCCACTTGATGACTTGACAAGACCTTGTCTCAAAAAGGGGGGCGGTGCTTGGGGATGCAGCTCAGTGTGAATTCAATCTTTGGAACCCCCAAAATAATAATAAGAATAATAAACTGCAGTTCCACAGTGAGCGCGCGTTAAATGGTTACTGAGAGGGAGACACTGCCCAATAGAGAAGGGACTCCCTGGGCTCGGGCCTCACCTGGTGAAGCAGACGTGGTGGGCGCACTGCCTGACCGGCCGGTGCACCGAGTACAGTCTCGTGCAGGCGAACTTCTCATCCCGGCACTCTGCGGGGGCCCAGCACAAAGCACGGGGAGGTCAAACTGGGGCAGCGGGAACAGGCTTACAGGGCTGGGGAGAGGGGCTGGAGTCGGGGGAAACACTGGACAGAGGGCTGCTGCAGCTGCTGCAGCCGGGACAGGTGCTCCCCGCTCCCCAAAAGCAGAAGAGGAAGGAGGAGGAGGAGGAGGAGGGAGAAATTGACTCAGATGAAATTTAGGTGCTTCCCTACCTGCAAGCAGAAGCACATAAAATAATCTCTAAGAGCTCTTCTAGGAAAAAGTCTTTCTAAGATTATTCAGGGGGCAATATGAAATAGTAAGCCGAAAGACTTTCCTGGCACCCAAAAATAATAAATAAATAAATAAATAAATAATAAATAATAAATAAACAAATAAACAAACAAGCAAGCAAGCAAGCCGGAAGGCTGCCGATCTCATTCTGGAGAAGGAGCGTTCTCGGCAGGGCCCTGGGTCTCTCTTCCAGCTATTTTCCACCCTAGCTGCAGGGCAGAAAGAGCGCGCTGGGGAAGCGCTGGTATCCCCGGTGTCTAGGGTAATGTGAGTCCCTGTCGTCAAATTGATTTTATTTCCCAGTCTATGAATCACCAAATAAAGTTGAGAGGTAGGGCAGGGAGGAGGCGTGGGGACCTTCGCAGTGGTCTCCTCTTTCCCCAGTGCGGTTCAGGACAGGGCTTCTCTGAAACAAGCAAACAAACGAGACTGAGGGCAGGGAGTGAGCGGACTACAAACGCTCTTCGAGAAAGAGTTAGAAATGAGCTGGACGGTGAACAAAGTGCCGGCTGGAGAACAAGGAGATAAGGCGACCGCAGGAAGAAAGAGAAGCCCAGGAAAAAGACATGCGCAGAGTATCCGCGGGGCCGGGGATATAGCTCAGCAGCAAAGCATCTACCTGGGGAGTGCAAGGTCATGAGTTTGATTCCCGGTACCAAAAAGAAAAAAGGTAACCGTACCTGCAGTGGCATTTTTATCACTGGCCAGAGCTGGAAAGCAAAAGTTTTATTCTGTTAGTACCAATTCTAAAAAAGTCACCATCTGGGTTTTTTTGTTTGTTTGTTTGTTTTTTGTACCAGGAATCGAACTCAGGACCTTGCGCTTGCCAGGAAGGTACTTGAGCCGCTGAGCTATACCCCCGGACCTTTTTTTTTTTTAAAAAGTCATCACTGTAACTGTGAAGTTGTTTCACTTGGGACCCCTTTGGGGTAGTTATAAATAGGAAGCAGATGAGTGAATAACTCTCAGCAGATTCCAAGAACCCCTAGGGAGCTGATTTGATCCACAGAATTTAAGAGACTGAGGAGTTAGGGTGGGATTTTGCCTTTCTGCTTTGTTTCCTGGAGAGTTTAAGAATTCATTGTATAGTGAGTATCTTTGTGTTGTTCATAAGAAGAAAAACAAAAGTGGAGTATGTTGGTACACACCTGAAGTTGCAGCCCTCTGGGAGGCTGAGACAGGAGGATTGCAAGTTCATATTCACCCCAGGCAACTGAGTGACTTAGTAAGACTCTGAATGAAAATAAATATGAAAATCGCAGGGACTAGGGATGTAGCTCAGAGCAGAGGCCATGGGTTCAATCCCTGTTACCACAAAAACAAAAAAAAATTTATCTTTGAATTTAAGAGACTGTTTTATCTGTTGCCTAGGGTGGCCTCTAATCTGTGGGCCCAAGTGATTCTTCTGTCTCAGCCTCCCAAGTCGCTGGGACTGCAGATGTCTGCCACCATGCCCAGCAATAAGCAAATTTAGTAGGAACACAAAGCCAAGAGCCAGCTAGGCATGGTGGTGCACACCTGTAATCCCAGCACTCGGGAGGCTGAGGCAGGAGGATCCTTGCGAGTTCCAGGCCAGCCTGGGCTACAAAGTGAGCTCAAGGCCAGCCCAAACTGCATAGCAAGACCCTGTCCCAAAAAGCCAACAACAAAAAACAGAGCAAAGAGCCATATACCCCAAAGAGCTTCACCCTCGTGCTAAGAGGAAGATATCACTAGCCTGCAGAGGATCCTCCTTATGGAGAAAAGGTCTTCCTGTGGACCAGGCGCACCATCGTGGATCTTTGCTAAGAGTACAGGGAGGGTCATGTCCATAGCCGAACCCGATCTTAGGGGCAAGTTTAATACGGGCTTAGTTCGCAGAATGGCCAGCTGGCCACGGAGCACGTGTTACAGAGTTATCTGGGGAAAATGTCACTGGAAGAGCTCTGAGAGAGGTGATTTCATCCCCCCTTCTTCAAGGTCCAGGTGCCGATCATCCCGAGCCTGTTTCGGGCCACACTCTCACACAGTGTGATCGCTCCAGGGCGATTGATCCGACTGCCCTCTTATGCAAGCATTACTAAATTTTCCAAAGATTCTTCAAATTGATGATGTCTCAGAGTGATAGCTTTCCCTCCGCCGGCCCGAGCCGTTCCTCAGTGAGTGGTGCCATCCGCCCCGCGGATGGCTCCTCGACAGCCTGCTCTCTGTGTGGTCATGCCCTGCTCGCGCAGCCTGCTGTCTCTCACGGGGAAGCCGCCTGCATCCTTGGTGTTTTCCTGAGCTCCCGACTGATTTTGCTTCAATCAGTTTTGCACAGTGCCCCAGAGGGTTAGGTAAAAGGGAGTGGGGGTGCCCTGTGATCTTTCCTGGGTACCAATCTGATTAGACACTTCCCTTGCAGGAATTAGCCACATCCCCAGCTTTTTTGTTCTTGTTTTTAATTTTGAGACAGGGTCTCATCAAGTCACTAAGTTGCCCAGGCTGGGCTTGAACTTGTGATCCTCCTGCCTCAGCCTCCCAGAGTGTTGGGATTACTGTCATGAGCTACCAGGACCAGATTCTGATTGGTCTTTATTTACCCCTGGTGCCTTTTGTATAAATTGTTTTCTTTCTTTCTTTTCTTTTTTTTTTGGATACTGGGTCTCCTTATGAAGTTCAGGCTGGCCTTGAGCTCACTCTGTAGCCCATTGCTGGTCTCTTTTTTGTTTGTTTGTTTGTTTGTTTTCCGGTACCAGGAATCGAACTCAAGACTTTGCATTTGCCAGGCAGGCACTGTGCCGCTGAGCTAAATCCCCAGCCCCCCACTGCTAGTCTCAAATTCGCAACGATCCTCCTGCCTCAGCCTCCCAAGGGCTGTGATTACAGGCGTGCACCACCATGCCTGGTATAATTATTTTCTTTATCTAAAAGTCCCTGCTGTTCACTTGATTTGCTTCTTCTTGCCTTGGGGAAGCAGCTGGGGCAGGGTTCTCTCTGGCAAAGCCTTTCACACTGGAGCCCTGAGTACTGCCCAGGGCACCTTCCGTTTCCCACACTTCCTTCGCTCACTCTGATCACAATGCTGTGGACCTGAAAGCTGCCTGCGCATTTGTCTAGCTCGTCATTTAGATGAAGATAGCCAGTACAAGAAATTCTGTTTTGTTTGCTTTTATATCCTTATCAAGTAGCAGCTTTCAAAAGCTATTTGTTAAGAAACCTGAGCACAGCTCAGTGGTGAAGCGCTTGTCTAGCACGCATGGGGTCATGGGTCCAACCCCATATCACAAAAATGAGCACATCGATAGTAGTCAGTATTCCCCTTCCTTACTTCCTACCACTGTCCCTTGTCCCTTGCCATTTAAAAACTCTTTGCCTGCCGGGTGTGGTGGCTCATGCCTGTAATCCCAGCACTTGGGAGGCTGAGGTGGGAGGATCGTTGTGAGTTCGAGGCCAGCCTGGGCTACAAAGTAAGCTCGAGGCCAGCCTGAACTGCATAGCGAGACCCAGTCTCAAAAAACACACACAAAAAAAAACACTCACTGCCCTCCTGTGCCAAGTGTATTTTGCTTTCGCATCTTTGACCTCGCTGTTGCCCTGAGGCTGAAGGACCCTCCGCTTCTTGGCCATCTCCACCTTACCTCCCCCGCCCAAGTCTTGGAGACACTGAGAGAAGGGTCCTGTCTTGGTGTTGTGTGTATTAAACATCTAGCGCAGTTCCTGTTTGTTTGGGGCTCTGTCTAAAATGCCATTCATTCAAAGGGGGCTGTGGGCAGAACGTGCTACATAAACTTCAGTTCTCTCTAATGGACTCCTTTGGCAGCTGTGCTGCCTTCCTCAATGGGCCCCGGTGGCCCTGGGACCCCAGATCTGAACTCACCCAGGTCATCTGTGGGAGGCTCGATATCAGCCAGAACTGAAAAGGCACAAAACAGCAGGTGTGAGGAGGCTTTGCATTGCAAGCGGGGAGGACGAGTGAGAACAGGACGGCAGGGCAAGGGCAAGGCCACAGCAGCGAGCATGCGCTCCGTCCAAGGGAGTCGAATGCACTGACGCCGGCTGGGGAGAGAGTTTGAAGAGTACTGGTCCTACCAAAGTGTTGTGGAAGCCTGTATGACCCAGGCCTTATTTGAGCTACGAATCTACTTTGTTCCACTCAGAGGGCTGGGCACTCTCTCTTTCCTCCTGCCCCACTGTCACTGAACAATAGTCCCGCGGCCCCTTTCTGCAGAACTAAGATCCCAGAATTAATCCAAGAGCCGGAATAAGCACTGTGACTATGAACAAGGTTGAGCCATTTTTTAAGGGACTTCTGTGAAACTTGCCTGTGTCGTCTGTAGCCGGATCGTTCACTAGATCTGCAAAGACACAAAACGGGACATGAAAACTGTAGGTTGGAAAAGCAGCTGAGAAAAGCAAGACAAAGGGGTGATTCTCTAACGGGAGACAAGAAGCACTGACGGTGGGTCGTGCGGAGGACTGGGGAAACGTAAGGCAGCCGCACAGGGAGAACGGGAGGGGCGGGAAGAGGCCGTGTTCACAGCAGCGGGGCCTCCGGGATGGCCAGGAGCTCACCGCGCCCACCAAAGTGCTTCCAGCCTTTATTCTCCTTTGGGTGGACGTCAGCCTCAACCCCCCATCTCCACTATGACGGCAAATAATCAAACCAAAAGGCAGCTTACTAGGATCATCTGTGAATGTTTCTTCGGTCACGTCATCTGAAAGGAAATCAGAAAGCATTTTCTGAGAATTCTCTGGCCCCTCCACCCCGGCACTCCTCACAAGGGAAGTTGTCTAGGACGGCACCCGGCAGAGAGCCCACACCTGTTTTTCCTTGCCTGGCCTGCAATAATTACAATGGATGGATGATCTCTAGGTAATACTTATATAAAATTAAAACTGCTTATACCAAATACACTGAAATTTATATATATGGTGCTAAAATGGAACCTAGGGCCTTGCACATAATTACCAAGCACTTGCTCTACCACTGAACTACATCCCCAACCCACTGTTGTCACATTAAAAGCTAAATAACAGCCGGTTGTGGTGGTGCACATCTGTAGTCCCAGCATTCAGGAGGCTGAGGCAGGAGGATTGTTGTGAGTTCGAAGTCAGAACTCACAAAGTGAGCTCAAAGCCAATCTGAACTGCATAGCGAGACCCTGTCTCAAAAAGACAGAAAAAAAAAAAAAAAACAAAGCTAAAAGCTAAATAACAAGGCAGTGTCAGCCAGGCATGGCGGTGCACATCTGTGGTCAGGGGGCTGAGGCAGGAGAAACACCATGAGGTCAAGACCAGCATGGGCTACATGGTGAGTTCAAGGCCAGCCTGAATTACCTTTGAGGCCCTGTCTCAAAAAACAACAAAGCAGCATTAATATCTCATATTTACATTTATTTTAAATTTTTAGTTATTTGTTTACTTTTGCGCACGTGCGTGTGTGTGTGTGTGTGTGTGTGTGTGTGTGTTTGTGGCGCTGGAGATCAAACCCAGGTCCTTGGGCATGCTGGGCAAATTCTTGATCACTGAGCCACACACCCCAGCCTAACATTTCACTGTATTTTTAAATGTATATATTTTTATCATACATGTTTAAGGTTTACAGCATGTTTTGATATTCATACACGAAATGGCCTGATTACTACAGCCAAGCAGTCAAATTAATATATCCATCTCCTCACATAGGTATACAGTGTGTGTGTGTGTGTGTGTGTGTGTGTGTGTGAGAGAGAGAGAGAGAGAGAGAGAGAGAAAGGGAGAGAGAGAGAGA